GGTGAGATCGAAAAACGAATCTCTTCTTCATGTACTTTCATTCGAAATGAAGGTCCCCCTAACAATGTTTGTGTGTACTCATGTGTCCATACTTGTTGTTGACTCTTAGCCTTAATGGCGCGCCTTCTTTGTGTATCTTCGGTAATTCATATGCTGTTGGTGGTCGTGCATCCTTACTAATGATTGAATTTCTTGTCCATGCGTCAATCTCCCCATTCATATGCATATCTTTCAGCATGGCACATAAGATTCCATTGGTTTTCATAGTTGGATCCTTGTTTAGCGTACGATATGTGGTCCTATCTCGTAGAATATCTTCCATCTTCTCGGTATATTGTTTTTTGTCCATTATCACTGTAGCTCCTCCTTTGCCGTTTCCAGGGTTTTGCGTATCACGGCAAATCTGTACCTGTTTGTAGGCTCCTGATGTGTCAAGATCTTTGGAATTAGTTCCATCTCCATTTCCTGTTTTGTCTCCTCAGGGAACTTGTCGGTGATATTGATAACCTCCACCAGGATGTCTCCTAGAAGGCTTGTGTGATGTTGAATTGAAAAATCGAGTCCTTTTTCCAGGAACGCGTTTGTTTCGGGATTGAGAGGAATTGATGATATGTTTAGTACTTTCTTCCCATCCTTGGGCTGAGCTGTAGGTGTTTTCACCTCGGAAGCCACTTCAACTGTGCGTACTGGCTTCAACTTAAGTTGTCTTATAATCTTAAACTTTTAAAATATTAGTAAATCTTGAATAATCTTGAATATCACAATAATATGAGTAGCCTCGTTTTTAAAAATTGACTTAATCTTAACAGCGGGTTGACCTCATTTTCGCAACTTGGTCTTGTTGTCAGGGCAAATTAGTTAAACACACCTTGTCCGAAGTCCTCTACTATAGACTGTCTTATAATCCCAAACTTACGCAATTTATCGTCATGCCGTTATGTTATTAGGTGAGAAATCCTACGTGATTTCCTGTCGGTCCTGCTCTGGAGTTTTTGAAAATTTTCCCGAGACAGGATCCTGGCCAAATCACGTCGGAGCTTTGACTTAATATCAACAAACTTAAGCAATTTATTCCGTTCTGTATCATAGGTCTCACTTAGTTTCTGAATAGAAGTCTGCTGGAGAAACTCATTAACCTTATCCGAGTGGTAGGGTCTCTTAAGGTCACAGAACTTAGGAGTGATACCAAAACGTTTAGAACAGTTGAAAAAAGTAAGATGGGAAGATTGACTTAGAATTGTCTTCTTTGCCCGACTGTATACAGTGCATTGTCTGGCAATTTTACTATCGTAGTTTAATTGAAGATATGAAAAGCAAGATGTTGTGTCCTATGGTATGGTCGCAGTCTCCTTTCGATTAATTAAAGTGGGTTGACCTCGTTGTGGCAACTTGGTCTTGTTGTCAGGGCGACTTAGTAGAACTCACCTAGTCGGAAATCGTCTGCACAGACTGGACACGAGATCAATTGGAAGGCAACGGAAAGAAGAGCCCCACACGGTGACAAGACAAGGAAGCGGAAGATTAGGGAGGCCATTGACATGTTTGGGGAGAAAAATCCAATGAACAGGAGATTGGAGGAAGGTAGAGTTAGCAACAACTTTGGCTACTGCTTAAGCAAACTCAGGCAAAACAAGAATAGAGCAAGATCAGCAAAAAGGAGACGCCTGGATCAAGGATCTGCCGCTAACCGGAGGAAAAGGGATCGTGATTAGGAAATTGGAGGGAAAGTGGTTTTCGGCAATCAAGCGAAAACGTCGCCAGTGAGTGATGTCCATTTCGAATAAACCAGTACAACTTTGGGGGCCTGGCAGTCTCGGAGCTGGGCAGACAGACAAGCAAACCGTCACGGGAATTCGACGTCATGGCCGAAATGTAAAAGAAATCCACTTGAGATGCCGCATGCGTCCACAGTTTGCTCAGATAACATGGGTTTAATGAAGGAGACGACCCGTGAAGGGAAGGCCTGATTTCTGCAAGCATGACAATCAGAGCTTAGGCGCTCTGCTCAGTGAAGCGGCAGAGTACGTGCTTCTAAGGCCTTGAGAAGGAGCGCCTGAAGTTAAATGCACACTGGGACTGGAACCGAGTGAAATCGGTCAACCGGAAAGATAAGGAACGGATCTACGAGACAATGAGGGGATCCGAATAGGAGATCTGAGTCGGATCAGACGATCGAAAAAGAGGGATCGAGGTAAATAGCAAATGTGATAGAGGCAAACTAGATTTTCCACAAAAGGGCACGCATTTTGACGAGTGGAATGTAAACAAGTGAGAAGTTGTGATATGGCGACAGTGGGATAAGAGGGTAAAGAGTAGATAGATAGACAATGACAGAAAGAGGAGTGATAGTGTAACCGTTTCTCGGCAGTTTGTTTGTCACTTGTCTCTTTGACGAGTTCGTGTCTTGGTGCGGAGAATGGCAGAACTGACTGATGATGCCGACTACGATGCCGGCGAAACGGTTGAGAATGTACCAAATCGACTGTCTGATGCTGGAAATCATGACACCTGTAATGGCAGACGACTTCAGACTAGGTGCGTTCTACTAAGTCGCCCTGACAACAAGACCAAGTTGCGACAACA